GAGGAAGATCAGCCACAATACCACAACGATATTAAAAGAAAAAAAGCTAAGCAGGGAGATACAGATAAAGGCCAACAATATTAGTCTAAGTGAAATTTTTGTTGTTGCAAAACTCCCCACAATTCTAGTTTGTTCTTAATAGTATGAATATGAGAAAGAAAACAAAAAAGTACCTTCCACTTTGCTTTCGATTGATGGCATTGAGTTGACCGCGGATATTGTTATATTCAGCAACGCGAACCTGAATAAATATATGCAACCATAGTCGTTAACACCAACCAATTTAAACCAAAGCAGCTCATATGACCACCATAAGACGTTTATGATCATACAGTAAGACGAGATAAAACCAAAAACAAACAAACTACCAACTACTCTTCACAAAGAAACTCGTATTGTGCAGACTTTTATACCAAGGGAATCGTTCGGATAGTCTCTCTGCTTAAAGGTTAATAACAGCTTTAATACCTTGAGATCATCCTCAATCTTTGCAACTTGAGACTGAATATTATCCACAACCTCCTTCAGAGGCGACATTGTTGGGTACTTAGCTTCATCCCAGACAAACCTTGAAGCCAATAAAAAAAGTTTCGTTCTTTACCGAATCCGATCACTACAAAATTAGCCATTAACTCTTTACGAAAAGAGAAAACCAGATACCTGGTGAGATAAGAATCAACAGGAACTCCATCAACTGTAAGAGCGTTGCTCTCCACACCAGAAATCCTCTCCAATTCCTCGATCTGTCTCCTGATCTTTTGCGAAACTCCTTCCACAAAACTGTTTGACTGCAATAGATCATCATCACCCACCAAAATTTCTCAATATAATCCAATCAAGAGAAGAAAAGTAAGATCAAAACGCGAAATTTCACTCTATGATCAGATGAATTACCTTTAGCAGATCATCTCCTAAAGCGAGTAGAGAATCTAAAGTTCCAACCCGAAGATTAGGAATGTTAAACTGCAGAAATTGAAAATCAAAACCCACCAAATTATAACCTTAATCGCATCGTATAACTACAATTACAAGGAGATTGTACAAGATCTTAGTCATATTTTCAATTTGAATAAGACCAAATCAAGGAAAAATCTGCAAGTACCCGATAAACTGGAGTATCAAAGGAATGCTTGGAGATCTGCTCCTGTAAACGATTCCATAACGAAGAAGCAGAGTCCTTCACTGGTAGAGACACAACCCAGTACCTTGAAGTCATTGAT